GCTCTGAGCTGTCGGAGGGCCAAGGTCACCCCTCTGAGCCCAGGGACACCGCACGGCGCTGGAAAGGCAGCCCTCTCACAAGCCGGGACTTAGATGGCCACACTGCGCGCCCGTTAACTGGAGTCTGGATAGAAACTGGGCCTCCCGGGCCAGCCCAGGCCGGGGAGGGAGCAGCTAAACGTGCAGCCGGGCTGGCCCGGTTCTGCGATGAGGGCCGGGTGGGCTCACAGGTGGGGAGCAATGTTCCATCCCCTCGACCACGGGGCACCCCTCGGTCTGTACTTGTGCACCTTCAGCCCCCTCTTCCGGCCTCAGTGGGTCCAGCACCCCAGCCTCGAGGCACCCCAACTCTGCAGAGGTCACCTCACCTCTCCAAACCTTCGTTTTCTTATCTGCCTGATGGGAAATGGGAGCACGAACCCCGTCCCGGCCTGAGGTGAGGAGGGCTGTGGGCCCTGCCCGTGCGGGGTGACCCCAGAACCAGGCTCCTGCGCTCTGGCCGCCGCCACCCTGCTCTGGGCACCGAGGGAACCAGGTGAGGAAGGGACCCCGCAGGTGAGGAAGGCCCCGGACCTGGGGAGTGAGCCGGCTCCCCGGAGCCTGTGTGACAAACAGGGACGGCCAGCCCCGTCCTCCCGCCGCCCAGCCAGTCCTCCCTCTGAAACCGGCAGCACCATCTGCAGGAGCACGTGGCTCCCTTGGCTGAGTCCCCTCGGCGGCCGCGGCACTTGGAAGGCGCCGGGCGGCTGGCTTCAGAGGCTCCGCGCCAAGGAAACCCGCTGTCTGTCACGTGTGGCACCTGCCAGGGGGCCGGGCGGCCGCCAGCGTCTCTCCGTCCGTCGCTTCACAGCCGGACTCAACGGAGGTGCCCCAGGGCTGAGCCGATGAATATTTTGCCTCCAAATGAATAACTAATTATTTTGTTCCCCTACATCCCCCGCCCCCCCTTTTCCTGAAGCAGGATCCATGTCCTGTGGGCAGCGGGGGAGGGGGAGGGGACCCGGTTCTTCGCCCGCCTCCCTCTCTGTCCTGCCTCTGCGGCTGACCCTTGGCCTGGTGACGGCCTGCCATCCAGTGCCCCTGAGACTGAAGCCACAGCTGCAGTCCGCCCTGCGCTTTGACAAAACCTCCCTCTCACCTGGGAGCCCGGGAACCAGCAGACGCCTGGGCGCTTGGCACTGGCCGGCTCGCTGCGTTGGGACCGCTCCAGGGCGAGGCCGGGCCCCGAGTCTGAGAGCCCGGAGCTCGGTCACTGTGATTGCGCCCCGGGAGGAGGACAGCCCGCGGCAACGGGTCGGGGTGCGTTGGCCGGCGGTGAGATCCCTGTGACGGGCTGTGACCAGCATGACTTTTTCGGTCGGAGTGGAATAGAGTAAAACAGGATGGAGAACACCGGAGCCGTCCCTCCCAGGAGGGCAGGTGCCACCCAGGAAGCTCCCGTTTCGGCAGCAGCTCCAGGGAACGTGGGTCACATGCAAAGCGCACGCCCCGGGTCAGCACGCCGAGCGGCTTCTGCAATTCCTGCTTCCTAACAGGAAACAACAACAATGGCAATAATAATACCAGCCACTGTGCCTTTAAGTCCTGGCTGAGGCCTTGGGGGGCAGGCTTCTCAGTGGGAGAGGAAGTGGGGCCCAGAGGGGACAAATGCCTCACTCCGGTCACACCACGGGAAAAGGTGGCCAGCAGCCTGTCCCTCCTCCAGGGCCGCCTGGAGTCCCTCCCTCCTCACCCCTCCGATCAGTCCGGCTTCCTGCCTGGGGGTCCCCAGAGCCCAGGCTTCTCTCCTGTTCCTCTGCCCCAAGGGCCCTGGGGGAAGGGCCGTGACTCAGTTTCCCCAGCTGGCACCTGGTGCAGAGGTGCTGGGCGGGACATTTGAGTGAATGGCAGGGGCCTGGGGCAGCCCCCCTGGGATAGCTCAGGGATGAGAGGGAACAGGGCCCAGCTCTGGGAGGAAGAACGGGGGAAGCAGAGGGGAGGAGGGGAGACCCTGCCAGGGCGGCTGCCATCTCCAGTGGCATTTTCCTAGGACTGATGTGCCAGGCGCTGGGCTTTTCCTCAGTGAACGGCCACAGCCTGTGCAGGCGGTGCTGTTAGGGTCCCATTCTACAGATGAGGAAACTGAGGTTCCGGAGGGGAGTAACTCCCTGATGCTCTGGAGCCCAGGTCCGGAACCAAGGCCCATCCCTCCTTTCAGATACCACCCC